TGGGTGCTTTCATGTTGGGTGCATACTTATTTACAATTGTTATGTCTTCTTGTAAGATTGTCCCCTTAATGATCATATAGTGTCCTTCCTCGTCTCTTGTTAGTCTTCGTTTTAAAGTCGATTTTGTCCCATAAAGCTATTGCTACCCTCGCTTTCTTTTCACTTACATTTGCATGATAAATGTTTTTCCATCCCCTCGCTTTTATTTATTTTGAGAGAGAGAGGGCAAGTGTGAGTGGGGGAAGGGCAGTGAGGGGAAGAGAGACAAACAGGCTCTGCTTTGTCAGCACAGAGGCTGACCTGGGGCTCGATCGCACAGTCTATGAGATCATGACCTGAGCCAAAATCAAGAGTCAGATGCTTAACCGACTGAGCCACCCATGTGTCCCTCCATCCCCTCACTTTCAATCTGCATGTGTCTTTAGGTTTGAAATGAGTCTCATATAGGCAGCATATAGATGGGTCTTGTTTTTTATCCATTCCGTCACTCTATGGCTTTTAATTGGAGTATGGGTCCATTTACAAAGTAATTATTGATAGGTATGTATTTATTGCCCTTTTGTTATTTGATTTGTAATTGATTCTATAGTTTTTTTCCGATCTATCCTTCTCTTGCTCTCTTTCATGATTTGCTGGCTTTTTAGTAATATACCTGGATTTCTTTCTCTTTATACTTTGCATATCTATCATTGGTTTTTTATTTGTTGTTACCTTTAGGTTTGTATGTTACATCTTCTACATATAGCAATCTATATTAAGTTGATGATCACTAAAGTTGATGGTCACATTCGTTTCCTCCCTGCCACCCCACCCATTTTAGGTGTATGGTATTATACTTTACATCCTTTAATTTTGTGAATCCCTTGACTGATTTTTTTTTTAATGTTTTTTATTTATTTCTAGGAGAGAGAGACAGAGACAGCCTGAGCAGGGGAGGGTCAGAGAGAGAGGGAGATACAGACTCTGAAACAGGCTCCAGGCTCTGAGCTGGCAGTCAGCACAGAGCCCGACGCGGGGCTCGAACCCACAAACTGCGAGATCATGACCTGAGCGAAAGTTGGATGCTTAACCGACTAAGCCACCCAGGCGCCCCTTGACTGATTTTTATAGATACACTTATTTTTACTGTTTTTGTGCTTCCTACTTTTCTTACTCTTACTTATGGCCTTTCCCTTCCACTTAAAGAGTCCCCTTTAATAATATTTATTGTAAGACTGGTTTAGTGGTCATGAATTCCTTTATCTTTTGTTTGTCTGGGAAGCTCATCATCTCTCCTTCTATTCTGAATGATAGCCTTGCTGAATGGAGTATCCTTGGCTGCAGGTTTTCCCTCTCAGCACTTTGAACTTATCATTCCATTCCCTTCAGGCCTGCAAAGTTTCTGTTGAAAAATCTAGCCTAATCTTCCCTTGTATGTAACTGTTGTCTCTTGCAGCTTTTAACGTTCTTTCTTTATCTATCTTTATCTTTTTGCTGTTTTAATTACTACGTGTCTTGGTGCAGACCTCCTTTTGTTGATTTTGTTGGGGATCTTGGAATTCTCCTGGATCCGAATTTCTGTTTCCTTCCCCAGGTTAGGGAAGTTTTTAGGTATTGTTTCTTCAAATATATTTTCTGCCCTCCTTTCTCTCTTCTTCTGGGACCCCTATAATGTGACTGCTATTACCCTAGGTAGAATTGCTGAGTTCTCTAAGTCTGTTCTCATTTTGTATAACTGTTTTTTCTCTCACCTGCTCAGCTTAATTACTTTCCATTACTCTGTCCTCTTGGCTGCTGATTTGTTCTACTGTTTCTAGTCTTCTACTTATTCCACTGCTGTATTTGTAATTCAATTATTCTGTTCTTCATTTCTGGGTTGTTGTTGTTTTTTTAATCTCCTTGTTAAGGGTCTCACTGATGTTCTCCACTCTTGTCTCCAGCCCAATATCTTTGTGATCATTACTGTAAATTCTCTATCAGGAATATTACTTATCTCAGTTTTGCTAAGGTGTCTGGCTGTAGTTTTATCCTGTTGCTTTCATTTGGGACATATTTCTCTTTCTTGTCTAACTCTCTGTGTCTGTGTCTGTGTGTGAGGAAAGTAAGCTCTTGAAGGTCATGGGTGGGGGAAGGCACTAATCCTTTAACAAGGAGCACTCATCCTTTGCCAGAGGGAACATGCCTCTGCCTCCGATGCCAAAGGTGGGGCCAGCTGCTGCATCTGCAAAGTGCATGCAGGCAAGGCATGCAGTTTTAGCAAGGTGTGCATGTCCTCCATGGGAGGTAACAGGCTGCTGCTGCAGGGACCAAGATTCCATAAAATGCATGGGTAGGGGGAGCAGTGTTGGTGTGGTTTGCATTAGTTTTCTGTGGGAGGGAAGCTGTGGGGCCAGGACTGAGACAAGCTCAGCTGGAGGGTATGGAATGCGGTGTAAACAAGTTAGGTGGCAAATGCTGGTGCTCCACTGTTCCTGCAGGTGGAATCGCTCTGCAATTAATAAATAACTCTTCCTCCCATATGCCCAGGCCTTTTTCAAACTGCTGTCTCTCAGGGGACTATTTGTCATGCTGTCTCTTTAAGGGTGGGGAGGTTTCCTATCACCCTCTTGGCTATCTCAGACCAGAGTCCTCTGATTTTTAAAGTTCTAGGCTTTATGTCAGAACTTTCGAAATTTGGTCCTTCTAGTTTTGAAAGCCAAATGCTATGGGGATTTGTCTTCACCATGTGGGCTCCTGGGTGTGGTAGTCTCTTTCTCTTCCTTCTCTGAGACCATGACCATGGTCCATTTAGCTCTGCCCTGGGACTCCACCCTTCCTACCCTCCTCCTCCTCCCCTTCTTCTTCTTCTTCTTCTTCTTCTTCTTCTTCTTCTTCTTAATGTTTATTCATTTTTGAGAGATGGAGAGAGACAGAGCATGTGGGGGAGAGGCAGAGAGAGGGGGAGACACAGAATCTGAAGCAGGCTCCAAGCTCTGAGCCCAGCATAGGGCTCAAACCCATGGACTGTGAGATCATGACCTGACCTAAGTTGGACACGTAACTGACTGAGCCACCCAGGCACCCCTGACCTTTTCTTTACAGTTAGTTGTGGAGTTTGTTCTGCCAATCTTCTGGCCTTTTTCTAGCTTATTTACACTGATGGGGTGTTATCTAGTCATGTCTGTGGGACGAGGTGAGCTTTAGGGTCTTTCTACTCCACTTTTCACTGGAAGTCAACTATCTCACTTTTAATGTCAATCTGTTTATATGTTCAGAATGACATCTAAACTGATGTTAACATATCCAGGACAACGATAATTTCTGACTCATGAGGTTTATGTTCATTTTTAACTTTCTTCTCTGTACATTTTTGTATTGTCAGGTTTATTTCCATGAATAACATGTTTGTTTGTTTTTTCCTTCATGATGATTATAGCATCTTAGGGGAGCCTGGGTGGCTCAGTTGGTTACGTGTCGGTTAAGTGACCAACTCTTGGTTTCAGCTCAGGTCATGATCTCACAGTTCGTGGGATCTCACAGTTCGTGGGATCGATCACAGATTGTGGGAACCCTGCATCAGGTTGTGCGCTAACAGCATGAAACCTGCTTGGGATTCTCTCTGTCCCCTCTCCCACTTGCGCTGTCTCTGTCTCTCTCAAAATAAATAAACTTTTTAAAATTATTTTAATTTATGTATTCTAATTAAAGTGTAATTCAATCTGGGCTTTAATGTCAGATAGAGCTAGATTCAAACCCTAGATTTATCATAGTCTGGTTGTGACTTCAGGCAAGTTCCCTAGCCTCTGTTAGCTTTCATTTCAAACGGAGATATTTACCTTCAGTGGCCATGGTTGGGATTTAAGGTGTTATGTGTCAAATAGCTAACACAGTGCCTGGCATTAGAAGGTGCTTACCCAGCAAGTGAGAACCATTTATCATTTCTATTAGTGTAATTCCAGTATGTTGTTTCTGTTCTTTAAATTTCGCCCGCCATTCTACTTTTAACAAAGTGCTGTGTCACCAAGACTTTGGTATTAAACTGCTATTGTGTCTGTTCCATGTGGGTGAGGCTCCCATTGGGAGGCCCAGCCTACCCCCTTGTCTCTCCTAAGTACCACCTAAAATTGTATGGAAATTGGGGCGCCTGGGTGGCTCACTTGGTTAAGCATCTGACTTCAGCTGAGGTCATGATCTCATGGTTCATAAGTTCAAGTCCCATGTCGGGGTCTGTGCTGACAGCTCGGAGCCTGGAGCCTGCTTCAGATTCTGTGTCTCTCTCCCCTGCTCACCCTCTATCTCTCTCTCTCTCAAAAATAAATAAACATTAAAAATATTTTTAATAAAAATAAAAATAAATAAAATTGTATGGAAATACCTTACTTTCTATTTGCAAACACTATTTAACTGAGGGGTGTTCCTGTATCCAGGCCAGTCCTGCAGATAATGCTAGTGGTGTATGTTGGTTTTGTTTTGGGTAAAGGTTGGTTCGAATGAGCAGATTTGTCATTCTGTTCTTCTGAGGTTATGACTGTGCTACATAGTAGTGTTACGATGATGCTCCATGGATTCGTTTGAACTGTATCTGTAAACAACTAAAAGCCTCCTTTGATGGCCTCAGTAGGAGAAGGATGGAGCCTAACTTAATGTTGAACCAAGCAGATCCAGGCTCATTTGTCCCTCGTGTGCCCTACTTCTTCAATTCTAGCTTGCAAAGGGCATCACTCACCAATACAGCGCCACCCAGATCTTTAACCTTATGTTGTCCTTGAAATAATCTTTAGAGAAAAGAAAGTTCTAGCGATTAAATGGTCTGGGTTATTTGTCCACACGGTGTTCTTATCTACCCTGATTTCCACCCTTTCTTTCTTGTTCAGCTTGGCTCTCATAGAGACCAAAGGATCCCTCCTTTTTATAAGGCCACGACCTGACAGGCATCGCCTAGCAAAACTTTCTGTCCCACAGTGCATCACAATAGCCTTTTGAGTGATGCGGAAGGATCAAGTCCTATATCTCTGCAGTGTGTTTTTGCAGTATACCCAACACCAGGAGGCAGCTGAAATAACCACTGTCCTCAGAAGACGTTTTTTAAGAACAAAGAGGATTCTACCCACTGGAGCCCAAATAGGTAACACCAGTTCGGTCATTACTGCCTGAACCTCTCTCTCCTCTCACTTCATGCTTGCAGTACTAAATTGCTGATTGCATTTTGAATGTTCTGGAGACAAGCACTCACAATTAAGCAAACTTTGTGGCAAACCGTTCTGTTAAGCCAAGAATTCTTTTGGAACGTGAACATTCATACCTCTCAGCTTTAAATTATTTGAGTAGATTTAGCTCAACATTTTTTTTCTTAGAAATGAGGTGTACCCATGTTAAGACATCTGGCTCTCTGCAATACAAATAGAACAAATATTAAAGGGGCACCTGGGTGACTCAGTTCGGCTCAGGTCATGATCTCACGGTTCGTGAGTTTGAGCCCCACATCAGGTTCTGTGCTGATAGCTCAGACCCTGGAGTCTTCTTTAGATTCTGTGTCTTCCTCTCTCTCTGCTCAGACCCTGGGGCCTTCTTCAGATTCTGTGTCTTCCTCTCTCTCTGCTCCTCCAATGCTTTCTCTCTCTCTCTCTCTCTCTCTCTCTCTGTGTGTGTCTATCTCTCTCTTTCTCTCTCTCTCAAATAAATAAAAATTTTAAAATTTTAAAAAGAACATAGATTAGAAACTGTTTACTAGATTGGCAGTTTATTGAGTTGACTGACTGATTCATTCATTCATTCATTCATTCCAAAGTATGCATAGAGCACTTCCTTGGATGGGGAAATGTCGTGAGGCAGGAGATGGACAAAGACAGTGAGGACAGTACCTGCCAAAGCAATATAGTCCCGATATCTAGGAGCTTTCATTTCAGGTCGACAGGCCAGACCTTGTATGAAACTCACGTCTTGTTCTTTGAAGAATCTCTAGAGCCTTATCCAAGGCCTGGCACAAACTTTTCACTCATTCAATGTTTTCTTAAATGATAGAATGAATAGATGAATTCAGAAACCAATAACCAATGAAGACAGGCCTTAGAACCAAAACGCATTATAGGATTAACTAAGGGCTCTGGGAGTCCAGAGATGGGCAGTGGGTCATTTGGAACCCAGAACAGAGGCCTTGAAGGAGATGACACAGAACTTGACTAAGGCCCGGAAGCATGGGCGGAACTTAGATTCGGAAGAAGGGAAGGAAAAGCATTGAGGCAGTAGAATTCAAATAGGACTGGGGGGAGGGGGGAGGAAGGGATGATAACCAAACTTTGGGAACTGGGAAGACTGGCTTCTTAGTGAAACAGAAGAAACAGGGGACTGTCCACGTAATTCAGTAATGGAAAGCCCCGTTCTCAATGCCTTCTCACAACACACATGCTCTAAGGCAGGTGGTAGCAATAGCCCCCGCTACAGAGCGACCCTGCCATCCGCCAGGCCATTGTCATACACCCAGCCAGGGTGGGTCACACCAGTTCTGAGCAAGCCCCCCACCCCACGGTTTCTCTGCACTGTCAGATCACTAGGGAGTGGCTTTCCTTAGAAATTCAACACCCCCCGACGCCTTGAATACGGATTCCACACTTCCAAGGAAAGAGGGGGTGGGCAGGGCTCTGGGGTTATAAAGTACATCTAGAAAACCAATTGTTGCCGCTTATGTGCCAATTTTAATGCCACCCTCTGTTTCTCGAATTTTCCCAAAATTATAGATACATCACATTAGAATCTTGGGACCCTGACTACTATCCTAACTTTGCTCCTTCTTTGGACAGATGAATTCAATGCTAAAACTTGCTAGTTATTTGAGGTTCACAAGCTGATTAAACTTACCAGGCAATTACTACTGGTTCCGCTCCCTATCATACTGGGAAGATCGAACCTTCAATTTAACAAATACTGTTTTTAGTCCTTTCTACCATAAAAAATTGATGTCAATTTAAATTTTAAACCTCAGAAAGCCCGTCGCTTATCACATGCCTCCTATCAGGGAAAATGTTCAGGGTTTCTTTTTTTTTTTTTTTTTAATGTTTCATTTATTTCTGAGAGAGAGAGCGTGAGCAGGGGAGGGGCAGAGAGAGAGGGAGACACAGAATCTGAAGCAGGCTCCAGACTCTGAGCTGTCAGCACAGAGCCCGAGTGGGGTTCGAACCCACAAACCGTGAGATCATGACCTAGGCCAAAGTCGGATGCTTAACCGACTGAGCCACCCAGGTGTCCCGTATTCAGGTTTTCTGAAGCAAATGTGACATCTGTTCTTGGAGACTTTTCCTTTAAAATTCTGAAGCGGGGGAGGGGCACGTGGCACCTGCGTGGCTTAATCGCTTTAGCGTCCGACTTTGGCTCCGGCCATGATCTCACAGTTTGTGGGTTCGAACCCCACATCGGGCTCTGTGCTGACAGCTCAGAGCCTGGAGCCTGCTTCGGATTCTGTGTCTTTCTCTCTGCCCCTCTCCCATTCATGCTATGTCTCTCTCAAAAATAAACATTAAAAAACAATAAAATTCTGGAAAAGGGATGTGGGTGGGGGATGGGGACACAGCCACTCAACTCCCTGAAAGGTAACTTGTCAAGGATCCCGTTTTAGCAGCTACTAAGCTTCAATTTTATATCAATTTGAGCGACACTGTGATTAATATCAGACTTGATCTCTTCCACCAGATCAGTAACAAGAGAGCAGAACCACGTGTCTCTAGCTAAATGCTTTCTCCCTAGTGCCTGGCACAGTGCCAAGCAAAAGTAGTTGATCCATAAATATCTGTTGAGTGGATCAATGAGAGTAGCACTGTACCAGAAGGCCTTTGGAGTCAGACAGATTTGCTCTTCTTTTTTTGCTTGTTTACTGGCTGTGTGGCCTTCAACATGAAATTTAACATCTACTAGAAATTCAGGATAATGAAGGACTCCTGAGAGTGTTGCGTGAATACCATATATGACAACTGTCTGGTGGATAACGAGCGTTAGCTCAGGATGCGGTCTTTCCCATCCTTTTCGCCCAGAGGGCGGCTGCTCTTTTTCAAAATTGCTTTGGCTATTTTAGTTCCCTGCATTCCCAAATAAACTTTAGAAGAAACTTGTCTATAGTCTCCAAAAACTACTGCTGAGTAGTTTCACCAGATAAACCAGATCAATTTGGGAAGATTGTCATCTTTACTATGTTGAGTCTCCCAGACCATGAACATAGTATGTCTCTCAGATCTTTGATTTCTTCCGTCAGTTTTGTAGCCTTCAGCATAGAGAGTCTGTGCATGTCTTGTTAGATATGTGCATAATGTTTCTCCTTTTTTCTTTTGAGCTATTATAAATAGTTGTGTTTCAAATTTTTGGTTCCAATTCTTTATTTAAAGTATTTAAATATAATTATGTGTGTTGACCTTGTATCCTATAATCTTGTTAAAATAGTTATTGGGGTGCCTGAGTGGCTCAGTCAGTTAAGCGTCCAACTTCAGCTCAGGTCATGATCTCACGGTTCATGGGTTCGAGCCCCGCGTCAGGCTCTGTGCTGACAGTGCAGAGCCTGGAGCCTGCTTCAGATTCTGTTGTCTCCCTCTCTCTCTGCCCCTCCCCCACTTGTGCGCGCGCGCTCTCTCTCTCTCTCTCCCTCTCTCAAAAATAAATAAACATTTTTTAAAAAGTTGTTAGTTTGGGGATGCCTGGGTGACTCAGTCATCCAGACTCAGCATCCGACTCTTGATTTCAGCTCAGGTCATGATCTCACAGTGGTAAGATCAAGCTCTGTGTCAGGCTCAGTGCAGAGCATGGAGCCTGCTTGGGATTCTCTCTCCCATTCTCTCTCTCTGCCCCTCTTCCGGCTCATGTGCACTCTCTCTCTTTCGAAATAAATAAATAAACTTTAAGAGTTTATTCACAGGCTCCTTGAGATTTTCTACACAGACTACTACACCATTTGTAAATAGGGACAGTTGTCTTCCTTTGCATCCATATGCCTTATATCTCTTGCTCTGGCCTTATTATACCGTGTAGGAATGCCGGCACTATGTCGAATAAGAGTGGTAAGAGTGACATCTTTGCTTTATTTCTGATTTTAGGAAAAAGTCACTCTTTCTCCATTAAGTACAATGTTAGCTGTAAATTTCTATAGATGTTCCTTATCTGGCTGAAAAACTTCCCTCATGATTGGATAAGAAATTTTACCATAAATAGACAGGTTTTATCAGATTTTTTACTCTTTTGCTATCTAACAGAATTCTGATTTGATCCATAATATATTCTGTAATACCAAAAACTTGCTAAAAACATTGACAAGATAAATCTTATACCTTTGTCCCTGAAGTCAGTACATTGAATATTAACATTGAGGGAATTTGCTGCAGTGTATGTCTTTTATTCGTGTACCTTAGTTCACTTTCTGAACATCAGCATTATAAAAAATTCTATTATTAAACCTTAATTTCTGTGCCCTGGGAGTCTAACTGCAGTGGTTTGTGGGCCAGTGTTAATTACTTGGAAGTGGTTAAAATTTTCCTACATAAGAGCCATGAAGATGCCCAAATCTTATCTCATTCTTAGGAATGTATCTAAGGAATAAATTCCCTCGAATCAAAATAGACTTATCTTCAGCACAATCAAAATGTCCAGTAGTAGGAGACTGGGTTTCATAAATTCTGGCACATTCAGTTACTCAATAGATATTAATGAAATGTTCACCATGTGCCGATTTTGATCTCTGGCCCTAGGGATACAGCTGTGAGCATAAGAGACAAACTGTCCTGTCCTCGTGGAGACTCCTTTCCAGTGGGGAGACAGAGCTAAATAAGATACATAAGTAAACTTGTAGTATTGCAGATGGTGATGAGCATTTTGGAGAAAAATAAAACATAGATCATGGAGAAGTCGTCCAGGCATGGGAGAGGAAAGGTGTACTATTTTAAATAAAGTGATGGTTGGACCTCACCAAACAACATAAAGGAACTTTAAATATTAGAATTAAGAATATTCTGTAGCAGAGTGCCTGGGTAGCTCAGTCGATTAAGCTTCTGACTTCGGCTCAGGTCATGATCTCACCGTTTGTGAGTTTGAGCCCCAAGTTGGGCTCTGTTCTGACAGCTCAGAGCCTGGAGCCTGCTTCAGATTCTGTTGTGTCTCCCTCTCTCTCTGCCCCTTCCCACTTGTGCTCTGTCTCTGTCTGTCTTTCAAAAATAATTCAATGTAAAAAAATAAAAATAAATACTCTGTAGCAATGTGGAAAAACTTTTATGATACCTCATTCAGTGTAAAACAAAGAATATAATACAGGAGATCTGCCATGGTTTCAAGTATTTAAGTATATACATATATAATGTATACCAAATATAAAAATGAAAGTAGTTTGTGGATAATTTTCATATTACTTTACAGCATTATTTACTCTGAGCATAATTATGTCTTCAGTTTAGAATTTAAAAAATACTTAAGGTTCCTTAAGGCTAATTCAAAATTGAATGAAATGTACCAGCTGGAATTCCCCTTTGCCCCGGAAGGATATTATTTGGAGCACCTCTGAGAAAGACTCTTCTATTCAAGCGACTTATAAAAAGTCTATATTTTAAAGGAGATGAAAGTTCTCTTGTCCAGGGTGCCGAGAACAGTGCTGTACATTGTTGACTGTGCGTATAGAAATGATAGCAAGCTTGACATGTGTTCGTAACTATCTCCTTCAGATCTGGCATGTGCATCTATTTTCTACAGTCGACTAAAATAAAACGAACTGACATATCTCACTGCAAACTACATTCTCTTATTTGTTCCAGAGATGACAAGTAATCACACAAGATGTGCCTTGGTAGCCCGTATATGTGGTAGCAACCGTTCTCCAAAGATGCAGAAAGACAGGTTGCAATCATTGCCAGACAACGTCTTCTGATAATTCTGGGAGCTCAGACTCCATGTGGGTTGTTCTGTGTTCCTCCAAAAATGTTTTTGTGGCGTGGCCAAAGCATGGCAGCCCAGGACTGGTTTATTCCCTCCAGTGTTGATTCAGAGTTCCTAGGCACTGAGCAATCACTCTACCCTCAAAGGCAGACGTGGTGTTGTCTTCGTGAAGCACAAATGTCCCGAATATCTTCCATTCTTCTCTCCAGCATGTCACGGCGGGTGAAGGAAAATCCTGGCAGTCACAAAGCTTTCCGTGTTCAAGAAAGAGCTCAGTGGTGTTTACTCAGATTTTCTCTTTTGTTCTTTCTTCTTCATTGTCTTCTTTTAAATAATCACACTAGCGCTAAAAGAAAAACACAGATTACATAATGAACAGACTGCACTGGAGAGCCAAACTATTTGAATGTAATCTTGCTTGAAAGTGTTCACGTTGCTTGGGAAACACATTCAGGGGTGAAATGACGCAGCTAGCTGGCCTGTGGATGATCCGTGGACTAGTCTTGACTAGAAAAGGGGAGAAGGAGGCGCCACACGCTGTTTTCCAACCGATCTCCCTCCTGGTTCCTGCTTCCTTGGGGCTGGCCTGCCTTTGTTTTGGCTGATGGTCTGGGCGCTCTGTGGTTGTTGCAAGATAGCATGTTAGTCAAATGTTTCTGGAACAAAATGGATTCCCATCCTGGTTTCCTCAGTGACCCTGTACAACCTATTTCTCAGGACTTCATTTTTTTGTTTTTGTCCATAAAATAGCAGGTTTCTGGAAGGCTAATTCATGTCACCTGACACATAACACACACTCATACGTAGAAACTCATATTTCTCTTTTCTCAAAGGTGCTGTTTGGGTTACAGAAACACACACACACACACACACACACACATTATTGCCTCACTTAACTTCCAGAGACGTACTGTAATCACCAAAATACAGAACAGGTGCCTTAGTCTACTCTTGATCCTGTAACAAATTCCCATAGACTGGGTGGTTTATAAACATCAGAAATGGATTCCTCACAGTTCTGGAGGCTGGAAGTCTGAGATCCGAGCACCAGCCTGGTGGAGTTCTGCTGAAAGCCCCCTTCCGGTTGCATAAGCACGTAGTACAAAATTGATGAGGTACACGAAAGGTAAACTGTAAAAAAGTAATGCTTTCTCCCACTTTTGTCTCCCAAGCACTCTGTTTCTCTCCCCATCATTGACATTTTCCTCAAGTGAATATTTCCACGTAGTGGTTTTCTGCCACAAGTCTCCCTCTCCAGGAGATAATCAGCTGCAATGCGAATTTTAGACTAGAAACTATCTAGATCATATGTTTACACCTAGGAAACAGAAACAGTTTGACGTCATGATGAGGCACTTAAGAAGTCATCAGAAGGACAGTGAGAAGTGGACTCTGGGGAAGGCCTCCAGGAAGCATCCAGAATACCTCCACAAAACTGACCCGACATGGGAGTAGCTACCTGTGCCCTACTCAGGAAGCTGCTTCCAGATCCTACTCCCAAAGCCACTCACACTGCCGCTGCGGTGCTCACCCCACACTCCCCAAGATGCTGTTTGAACCCCAGAGTGCGGGCTCAGTCACTGCCTTCGATGCACGTGCTTCAGGACGCCCAGTGCTGGAGACCAGCCCCTGTGTTTGCCACAGACACTCACCACACCGCGGCTTCACAAGCAGCAGGAAATGGCCTCTGCCTCATTTCTGCCTTCCAGATCTCCGTCCCGCCTGTCTGATTTGGAGGAGTCTAAATCCTACCCAGAGCTCTGGGTGCCAGGGAGTCTGGACATGTGACGCCGAGCCCGTGAGCTTGTGCGGTAGGAAGGCACCTAAGAAGGGTGAGAACAGACGCTAAGGACCCAACTGGCGCAGTAGTTTCTTTCCTTTCTTTCTTTTTCTTTTATGGTGAATTCCTGCCGAGTTCTGTGGCTCCAGTTATTGCAGATTCTTATGTTAATCCTCCGATCGATTAGGTGTGCAAAATGGTTTGTTGCTGATCTAATTGCATTTCAGGGAGGAGAGAATCAGAACTTCATGCTGCTCCACCATCTTGGCCCCTCTCCCCCTTTTCTCTTGGAGAGAGAGAGAAGGAGAGAGAGCATACATGAGCCGGGGAGAGGGGCAGAGGGAGAGAGGGAGTCTTAAGTCGGCTCCTCAGCACAGAGCCCAACACAGGGCTCAATCCCACAATCGTGAAATCAGGACATGAGCTGAAATCAAGAGTCAGACACTCAACTCACTGAGCCACCCAGGCGTGCCCAGTAGTTTCTAAAGAAAAGCCTATCTGTATGTATTGGCTTATGCTTTCCACATTTTTTTTTTTTTTTTTTTGGTCCATGTACTAGTTTCTTTCCTTCCCTAAGTGGTCTACAAGAAGCCATAGATATTCTCCCTACTGTTCAATTTTCTTACTGTTATTTCTTTCCAGACAGGCTTGGTGGCCCTGGGCAGCTCACACATGGAAGTGGACTGTGTACCGTGTATACAAACTGTATGCAGTATAGTACATTGTGTGTATACATTTGCAATATAAATCTTTACTCCGTAATGTTTTTTAGACTCCCATCCACCATGACTGCCATCAGGCTTCGAGAATTTATTGACCGCCGCCCAGTGATCCCATCCAGGTAATGTTCTTCCAGACGCAGATGCCATCCAGCGCTGCGGTGAGGCAGACAGACACCTGGGGTGGGGGTAGGGGGTAGATTTGCTCACCTGGTACTCTGTGATTGAGAGGCAACAGCTGCCAGGAGTTCCAATTACATTTCTTTAAGTTTGGGGAAAGCTGTAAGAAACAAAACAAACAAATCCCACGCTGATGGCAAAATCCAAGCAAACAGGCAACTCCAAACTCCCAAAAGATTGGAAGGACATTGGTTTTTGCTTGGGAAGGGCTTCAACAAGAAGGATGAGGAACCACAGCCTGAATTTTAGCGTGGGCCACTTTATTCTGCTCAGGATCCAACAAACCACTTCCTGCATCCGCCATATGGGAAGTTGAAACAGGATTTTCACTCTTCGTCCAAGTTCATAGACAGCCCAAAACTAACAAGCCCTCGGCATGTTTTTTTGTGCTAAAGTCCTCTTGCTGAGAGATATTGGATAATAATCCATAGGCCCAGCCTCCCTCTACCACTGGCCGTGGGGTCTAGAGAGGCTTAGAAGCTATGACAATGGGTAAGACACTCACACAGCAAGCCACTTTGAGGTCAGCCTCTTTGGCTTCATGGTTTTGAGTAAACCCCATGTTTATTTTAGTATCTACTTATTTTTGACAATGTTTAGTCAACAAAGATAAGTCCTTTTGCTTCCAGAAATTACTGAAGGAGGGATGGGGAAAGGATATTGTGTTTCTAGAGTCGTCTTTCAGAGAAAGGACAGAGTCTACCCTTCCTTCCCAGAAGCCCCTGTGATGAGGAACTGGAGGGAAATAGGGATGGGTTTCAGTATTTCTTTATTCCTGCCTCCCCACAACCCGTTGGCCTTTCTGATGTGTTTGAGATCTGTCTTGCCCACTGTGGGTCATCTGGGCAAAATGGAAACAAATCTCCCTTAGCTGCTGCTAAGGAATTTAATGGAACAGAGGCAGGGTCATCGGGCTTGGCCTAAGCCAGCTCATAGGGAGCTTGAGGGCTTGGGTGATACAGTGCAGCAGGCACACGGGTCCATGAAGTCCTAAGGTGGGGCTGGATTCTGTTCTCTGTGCTCATCCTTCAGAGCCTCCCCGAGGAGGCACACCACCTGAACTGGGCTGGGGCCCCAGCCTCCCCACCATACTCACCGTGAGGCTGACCCTTGTCTATACCTTTCCTGAATCTACAACAGTGGGGGGTCCAATCCATCAGTAGGTTCCTCAGTTGTGCCTCCAGGATGTATCTCCAAACGGGAATGTGGCCTCTCCCCACTCACCTACAACAACGGCCGTCCATTCTCCAGAGAGGGCTTCATAACATGTAACTTGGTTCAAAGCCCTCCATTGCATTAAACCTTGCAGTCACCACATCTTGCATAAAATCTAAACTCTGCCACGGCCTACATGGCTCTCCACGAACTGGCCCTGCCCGCAACTCAGAGCCATTCTGGGGAATGAGCCCTCCAGTTTACTGATGGCTGATCAGCCCTCCCCCACTTTACTGATACCTGGCGCCCCCGTCTTCCTGGAGGGGAGAGTGAGTCTAGAAGATAGCAGAGCAGGCATGGCGGTCTCCCATCCTCTGTGCCAACCAGTTTGTGTCCTTACTAAGTGACTCATTCCCCAGAGCCTGCTCCTCCCTGACACAGCACTTACTCATTGTGTATGATTAGTTAGTGCCTGAGTGTGGTTTTCCCTCCCAGACCGTGAACTCTTGGGTAGGAGAGAATACGGATCATCGCTGTGTCCCTGGCACCTGGCATGCGGCAGACACCGCAGAGCCTGCAAAGAGGGCTCGTTTCCTTGAACTGAGGCCAGCTTCCAGCTAACATGGCTGTGTCTGTTTCTTCTCCTCTTCCTTCGGTGCACGACTTCAACTTCCTGCCTGCCCATGAGAGAATCCCAGAGCTCATATAAAAATAGCCCTGAACTCTTCCAGAAGCCAGCCATCCTGCACACAGAGAGACGACTCTGGATGCAACATGGAGCTCAGAGGACGGGTTTGATCTTTGGCTCTGGCGTTTTCCAGCCGGGTGATCTTGGGAGGGCCCACTTGACCTCTCTGAGCCTCTGTCCCCTGTTCTGTAACAGCGTGTTCATAATGTTTACCTGGCAAAGTGACTAGGATGTAGATGAGGTCACCCGTGTAAAGAAGCCTCATAAAGTCCGAGGCCCATCATAGACGTGACAGAGGACTGCAGGGCCACCTCAGGCCATGGGGCCAGGCTCTTGAGGGACCAGCACCCTGGACCTCCCCTGTGTGTATCGGATTTGGTCTGCGGCTAAGCCCAGATTTCTGCTCCGGCTACATGCGCTCTCATCTGCACAGAACATGTCACCTCAAAGAGCCAAAGTTTGAGGAGCTGGCAAACAACCTGTGGGAGTCGGTCGAAGCTGGAATCTGGAGGAGAAGGAGAGGGAAAGGCCTTCCCACAACCCATTCAGGCATCTTGGAAGCCAAGGCAGCTGACGGGTGTGAGCAGAGCCCAGGCCCAGGTTGGCGGCCATGTCTGGAGAGCCCGCTGCTTCCCTGCTCTCGCACCTAGTCCCGCCAGGAGACACCAGCTCCTGACCGACCAGCCAGGTTACATACGCATCGCCCCTCATTAACCTCTTAATTGGGATGTTTCTCTTCTGGGAGGTGAAGTCAGGCCACGTGCAGAGCTGGGGAAGTCCCCCCAAAGAGTTCGCCATTCTTTCCCCAAAGCTTTCCGCTTCTCCGCCCAGCCCCCCTTCCCTCCAGCACCTGCTTACACACTTCCCTCCCTCTCCCGGCTCCTGGGCCAACACCTACCAAGAGAGACCCCCCAGGGACTGGAGCTGGACATGTGACCTGGTGCTGGTGGAGAAGGGCTTCTCCATCCTCAAAACAGCTTTTACAGACGGCTTCTATGGAGCAGCGCTTGGGTCACTCACCTGTATTCAGCTTGGGTCACTCACCTGTATTCAGCAGGTGTTTGTTATATGCATGCTAGTAGAGAATCCATGGTCAAAACTCGGCCTGCTGAAAACAGCAGAGCCGCTGTGAGACACCAGCGTGGGTTCGGAACCCCGGCTGGGTTCTTCACAGACGGTAACAGGACACCAGAGGGATCTTCCCAAGGTAGTGCTTCAGCCACGGGATGGGCGCCCGAGAAAGTCCCAGGCCCTCAGAATGTCATTTGTTCCCTATGATTGTGTGCCAGTTCCCCTCTTTTCTTATGACTAAATCCCTGCTGTTATTTACTCTTTGGGGCTCAGTCACATTATCTGAGTCACTGGGCAGGCCCAGACAGCCTGTGGTTTTCTGGAAAACTCAGAGTTCCCGGAGGCCCTGTTTGCATAGACAGACAGACAGAACTGCCCTGTTCACAGCACTTGCTTTTCATACTGGTTAGACAGTGAGGTCCTCAATGGCCCCTCCACACTCCATGTTGATCCCAACTCTGGCCACATCTTGGCTTCTAAAATTCCCGTCACCTCAAATCTCTTCCCCGTCTATTTGCTTGCCCAAATCTTGGACATCAGTCCCACAACTGTGATGCCACTGACCCTTTATTCAGATCACTATTTCAGCACATAAAGAGCAAAAGGACGTCTGGATGGCTCAGTTGGTTAAACGTCAACTCTTGATTTCAGCTCAGGTCATGATCTCACAGTTCGTGGGATCAAGACCCGCATCGGGTTCTGTGCTGACAGCGCAGAGCCTGCCTGAGATTCTCTCTCTCCCTTTTTCTTTTTCTTTGCCCTTCCTGGACCTCTCCAAATATGTAAACTTAAAAAAAAAAAAAAGAACATTATGAGGACAAGTCAGCTCCTCTATCTGTATCTAAGAACCCACGCATGTTGCATGCGTTCAGTAAGTGCTGATTGGACTGCGGACATGGTTCGGGTTTCCATTTATCCCCTCACACAAAGCGACTTCATGCAAAACTATGTACTGATTTCTAGTGACTCTTCCCTTGAACTCTGATAGCATCGACTGAGTGCTCAGAACCTGTGGAAGGTCCCCAAACACCTACATATCACAAACTGTCCCCACGATGGTCACCTGCCTGCGGCCCCTCCCTCTCCTGAGGAATGGCAGCCTTCTTGCTTATGTGTGAAGCCATCAGGCAAGCCTGTCCCTGTCTTACACATCTCCCTCTCAGCCTCAACCGTTTCTCCCACAGTGACCCCTGTCCTCTCTGGCCACCTTCCCCAATACATAGCTCAGGTTTCTCTGTGTCCCATGTAAATGATGACAGTTGCCTTCTGGCCAGTCTCTGTACATTAGTCAGACTGTCCTCAACTTCACTGTCCATACTGCCACTGGAGAAGATCTTTTTAAAATAAAAATTGCACTATATCATTAATCTTAAAAACTGCTACCAAGATTCCCTGCCCCCTAGTTGAGTGGTTCCCAACCTCTCGAACACAATGCCCCCCCTTTTTAAAATTGTTTAATGTTTTATTTATTTCTGAGAGAGAGAGACAGCATGAGCAGAGGAGGGTCAGAGAAAGGGAGACAGAATCAGAAGCAGGCTCCAGGCTCTGAGCTGTCAGCACAGAGCCCAATGTGGGGCTCGAACCCATGAACCGTGAGATCATGACCTGAGCCGAAGTCGGACGCTTAACTGACTGAGCCACCCAGGCGCCCCCACAGTGCCCCCTTTATGTATAACAAATGTTTTGCAATGTTCCTACTGCTCTTCTGAAATAAAATCTGCACATAACATAATCCAACTACATGTAATTCTAAAATAGCAAAATAATGCAGTGACCATAATCTAAAAGGAAAAGCAATTGATTATAAAATAAGATGTCTTTCAAAACTTTTTTTGACTTTATTTTGTGAGAGAGAGAGAGAGAGAGAGAGAGAGAGAATACCAAGCAGGCTCCACACTGTCAGTGAAAAGAGCCCAAAATGGGGCTCGAACCCACAAACCATGAGATCATGACTTGAGCCGAAATCCAGAGTCAGATGCTTAACCGATTGAGCCACCCAGGCACCCCAAAATAAGACGTCTTTCAAAAGGAAGGGTCTGGACACCCCGGCACACTTGCCTCACCTCGCCTCTGTTTAGCTGTACGTGCCCACCCCCCACTCCTGCTCAACTTCACATGCCTAAAGCTCTTCCTCTCCCTCCTATTTGTGCTTCAAGATGTTCTTACAGCCCATCCCTCCTTGGCAAAGCTAAGTTCCCTCCTCCAGCCCACAAGCACTCTGTGCTTTGGCCATCACAGCGCTTATTCATTTCTTGCCCCATACACTTAATTATCACAGCTTTTAAAAAAATCGAAAATACTTGTGAAAGTTTGTAAACCGACCAAAAGTGGGAAAAAAAATAGTATAAAGAGCCCCCCTGTAGCCATTCTCTTTCATTTCAACAATGATCAACATTTGCCCCCGCTGGTTTTAAATTAGATAGCCTCCTATTTTTTTTTTTTTAATTTTTAAATGTTTTATTTATTTCTGAGAGAGAGAGAGACAGCGTGAGCAGGGGAGGGTCAGAGAGAGAGGGAGACACAGAATCCGAAACAGATAGGCTCCTATTTCTTTTTCTGATCGTTTGAACCCAACACCTGACACGTCAAATGACTTATGCCTCTTGAGAAGGAAATCCTGAAAAACGGATAACAGAAGACACCCCTACCAAGAAATTCCAAAGGTTTCCAGAGCTCTGTGCCAGAAACCAGGGGCACAGACCGCATGTATGTCTTATTACACCACAGCTGGCATTCTGCTGTAAAGAACTAATTGCTTTTTTTTTTTTTAATCCCCCTCTTACTTTCTCCACTAGTGTATTCATCGCTCATCAGGGAAAGGACATCCAAGGATATTACCCCGGGCAGCTGGCAAGAGTTCACTTCGATTCTAGTGTGAAGAGACTTCCCAGGTGAGGAGACCTTCCTAAATCTTAATTTTCAAAAATTTCACTACTGTTAGAATGATAAATGTAAAAAAGGGGGGGAATGACAATTTGTAGTCATAATAATAACAATAATAATCATTGTTATTTAATCGATTAAAGAAAAAAGCTTGGAAGGAAATACACCAAACTTAACAAGGGCTTTTTAGGAGTGGTTAAGATCACTGGTATTTGTATTTTCTTTTTTCTTTTTCTTGGTTTCCCAGACTTTCTCTAAAGAACATCTATTACTTTTATAATCAGCAATAAATATAGAATGTTATTAAATCATCAAAGAAATGTAAGAAACACCATGATGTAGAGTTTTAACTCATTCGAAAAGCTTACCCTTCCTGAGACTCAGTTTCCCTCTCAGTAAAACTGTGAATTTGGCCTAAATAGTTTCTGCCTTTCCAAATGTGATTTTAACAAAAAGAAAAGGAAAAAACAAAGAAGAGTCACTTGGAAGTCATATTCCAGTTTTGGGAGACTAGAAATCACCATAGTTAAAAGCAGCAATTTGGGTAATTTTGAAATGGCTGATCTTGGGTAATTTTGCTTATTTATTTACTTACTTATTTACTTATTTATTTAGAGAGTGCAGGAGGCAGGAAGAGAAGAAGTCTTCGTCTGCCAGAGCAGAGCCCAATGTGGGGCTCAATGCACGGCTCGCTGCAGGACTCAATGAGCAGTTCGAACTAATGAACTGTGAGATTATGACCTGAGCCAAAATAAAAAATCCGATGCTTAACTGACTGAGCCACCCAGGTGCTCCAGATCTTGGGCAATTTTAAATCCTTCTCTGGGAATCAGTTGCCTTATCCTTTAAATAAAATAATTGACCAGGGCACCTGGGAGGCTCAGTCAGTTAAGCATCTGACTCCTGGTTTCGGCCAGGGTCATGATCTCGCAACTCTTGGGTTCGAGCCCCACATCAGGCTCTGCACTGACAGTGTGGAGCCTGCTTGGGATGCCACATCTCCTTCTCTTTCTGCCTCTTCCCTACTCATACTCTATCAGTCTCGAGTAAATAAATAAACTTTAAAAATTAATTAATTAAAGTGAATAATTGACCTTAAATTCCAGAACATAACAAGCACTCAAACTATGATGGCTATGACTTTAAGTTCATCGTCTAATATATATTACAAATCTCTTAGTCACTTTTGATATAGTCAACACTCGATTATCCTCCATGCAAAGAAAAGGGAGCCATGGCATCTATATAGCAGATGCACAGTGTCTTAACTTAATGGACGATCAAACTGGAAGTGGCGTTAGAGGTCACTCCGATCCAGTTACATGAATATGAGGTGGACCACAGAGGTGACATGTCTTGCCTGAGATACAGTTGGTCAGTGTGAAAGCTGGGACGTGGAACTATCCACACTTTCTGATTCTCAGTTCCAAGGTCTTTGTTCTGACCCCAATACACATTATGTTAAACTCCTGTTGGGGCTGGCCCCACTGCCAGGGCACTCTTCCCATGTGCTTCGTGGGCTCTGACGACACCCCCAGCTCCAACATCGGTACCTGAATGTGTGTCCTCCTCCCCACAGGATGTCTCGGGCAAAGGGAACCTTGACTCTACTTGACTCTTCCAAGACCAGTGCCTGCCCCAGATCCGCCTTAAGGGGAAAACTTAGTGAAGTTGCCAGTCAATGGCTATTAAGCTTCTAGTTAAAAATGAGAAGAAACAAAAGACAAGCTCCTGACCCTCCAAAAAACAGGAAACGATGTGGTTCTTGGAATAAGTCCTAACCTCAGTTTTTGTAGTTGTGGTGTGACTTGCTAGGCGTCTAATGGCTTACCTTCCCCAGAAACACTCCTCTACCGATGCAATGGTTTCAGTATTAGAATCCTATCCTTCGAATGAAAGTCTTATCTTCAGGACACTGATGTATTACTTGAAAATGGACAATATTCTGATTCCATGGAAACACCCAGGGCAAAGGCAGAGCAGGGGTGGATCTAGGGGCAATCACCAGGACCTGGTTCAGAAGCCAGAGCCATGGCACAGACGTGACGAGACGGACGTGAACACACGGAACCCAACCTCACAAGAGACTGACGTGTTCATCAGGCAACTGATAATGTTTGGTTGACAGTGGAAGATGTGCTTTTTTTGTACAGGAAGAAGGGTTTCTGCCCACCATTTAAGGTGCCCACTCTACAGGCCCAAGAACCTCTCAGACATGAAACAAGAGCAAGTAGAGATGAGCAGGGATTCTGGTGCTTCTCTGTGCCCATTCACCGCAGAGCTCCACGGGCCTACCCGTATTTTCCCCCACCCAGTACCGCACCCACACGGTCGCATTCCTGCTCTTGCTTTTTCTGACTTTCAGGCAGAATTCCTCCATTTCTGCTAACCACGCTTTAAAGAAGGCACATTATCATCAAGTTTTTATTGAAATACGGAAACACAATATATTATGATTAAGAACTGTCAGTCGCCTCATTTACGTGTGATTAATCATGGTGATACCGTCGGTTAAGATTACATCCTACTACTAAATGATTGGGTTTAGGTGTTCCTACATCTCACCCAACACTGGATATTTTTCATATCTAGAGCTGCTCACTTCATGTATTTTAGAGCTTAAAAATACACACTTTGGGGCACCTGACTGGCTCAGTTGGTAGAACATGTGACTCTTGAATTCTGGGTTGTGACTTTGAGCCCCATGTTGGGAGTAGAGATCATTAAAAAAAATAAAGTAAAATAAAATTTTAAAATACACATTTTTTTACAATGTTCAGATAACATTAATAAAAAAGTTGAAATTACCCATAATGTCATCACTCAGAGATAGAATATTCTTTGAGTGATGCACAGAATATTCCAGATCTACACAAAATAAGATTTAATAAGATGAATAACATTTTGAAACCCTTTTTTTTCCAGTTTACTGAGACACAGTTGGCATATAATATTGTATTAGTTTAGGTATACATCATAAAGATTTAATATATGTATATAGTGTGAGATGATTACTACATAAGTTTAGTTATTATCTATCACTTCATATAGTTGCAAATTTTTTTACTCATGATGAGAACTTTTAAGATCTACTATCTTAGCACCCTTTAAATACACAATACAATATTATTATCTATAATCACCATGCAGTACATTGCATTTCTAGAATTTATTTATCTAGAAGTTTGTACATTTTGACTCCCTTCACCCATTTACCCCATCCTCCCAGCTCTGCCTCTGGCAACCACCACTCTGTTCTCTTTTTCTCTGCTTTGATTTTTCTATATTCCACATATAAATGAGATCATACAGTACTTGTTTTTATCTGACTTATTTCACTTAGCACAATGCCCTCCAAGTCTAGCCATGTTGTTACAAATAGCAAGTTTTCCTTCTTTTATGCTTGATGCCTGAATACATACACATATACATATATACAACATCTTCTCTATCCATTCATCCATCAACGAACACAGATTATTTCTATGTCTTGGCCATTGCAAATAATGCCACAGTGAACATGGAGGTGCAGATATCTCTTTGAGGTAGGGATTTCACTTTCTTTGGATAAATACCCAGAAGTGGAATTCCTGGTAGTTCTAATTTTTTGAGGAACCTCTATACTGTTTCCCACAGCGGCTGCACCAGTTTGCATTCCTACCAACAATGCGCGAAGGTTCCCACTTCTCCACCTCCTCACCAACACTTCTTATCTTGTGCCTTTTTGATACTAGCCATTCTAATAGGTGTGAGGTGATAGCGCACTGTGGTTTCAGTTTGCATTTCCCTGATGATTAGTGATGGGGAGCCCTCTTCATGAAACTGTTTGCCATCTGTATATCGTCTTCTCCAGGAAAAAATGTCTAGTCCAATTCTCTGCCCATTTTTTAATCAGATTTTTTTTTTTTGCTATTGACTTGTATGAGTTATTGATGTAATTGGGGCATTAACTTCTTATCAAATATATGATTGGCAAATATTTATCCTATCCCCCGGGCTGCCTTTTTATTTTGCTTCTTTCCTTAGCTGTGCAAAAGCTTTTTAGTTTGATGTAGTCCCGTTTATTTTTGTTTTTGTTCACTTTCCTTTTGGTGTCAAGTTCAAAAACTCATTGAGAAGACTGATTGTAAGGAATTTACTCCTTACTGTTTTCTTCTAGGAGTTTTATGGCTTCAGGTCTTACCTTCAAGTCTTTAACCAATTTTGAGTTGATTTTTCTGTATAAAATAGTTTCATCTTTTGCATGTTGCATTTTCCCCAACACCACTTGCTGAAGAGACTCTCCTCTCCCCATTGTATATTTTGGGGATTAGGGTTTTTTTTTTTTTGCCATAAATTAATTGATCGCATAGATATGGGTTTATTTCTGTGCTCACTATACTGTTCAGTGGAGATATGTGTCTCTTTTATGACAATGTCATACTACTTTGATTACCAGAGCTTTATAATAGAATTTGAAATCAGGAAGCATGATGTCTCCACATCGTTTCTCTTTCTCAAGGTTGCTTTAGATATTTGGACTCTTTTGTGAGAGTTTTAGGATATTAGAATTCTTCGTTCTAGTTCTGTGAAAAAAAATGCCTTTGGAATTTTAATGTTATTTATTTATTTATTTATTTATTTATTTATTTATTTATTTTCTAAAGCAAAGAGAGAAAGAGGCAGAGGGAGAGAGAATGGATCCCAAGCAGGCTCCATGCTCAGTGCAAAGCTTGACACAGGGCTCAATCCTATGACCCCAGCATCAGGACCTGAGCCTAAATCAAGAGTCAGACTGTCACCAGACTGAACCACCCCCACACACCCCCGCCTTTGGAATTTTGATAGTGATTGCATTAAATGTGTAGATGGCTTTGGATGCTATAGACATTTTAACAATATTAATTCTTCCAATCCATGAACACAAAATATCTTCCCATTTATTTGTGTTTTCTTCCATTTCTTTCATCAGTGTCTTACAGTTTTCAATGTACAGGTCTTTAACCTCATTGGTTAAAATTATTCCTATTTATTGTTTTGATACAATTATAAATAGGATTGTTGTCTTAATTTCTCTGTCCAATAGTTCATTATTAGTATATAGAAATGCAATACATCTTTGTGTAATGATTTTGTATCCTGCAACTTCACTGAACTCCTTTTTTAGTTCTAACATTTATTTTGGTGGCGTCTTTATGGTTTTCTATATATTGACCATGCTATCTGCAAATAAAGACAGTTTTACTGCTTACTTTCTTATCTGGATGCCTTTGATTTCTCTTCCTTGCCTAATTGTTCTGGGTGGGACTTCCAATATATGTTGAATAAAAGTGGTGAGAGTGGGCATCCTTGTCTTACTCCTGATCTTAGAGAAAAAGCCTACAGCTTTTTACCTTGGAATATGATATTAGCTGTGGGCTTGTCATATATGACCTTTATTATGCTGAAATATGTTCCCTTTATAACCACATTATCATGAATGGATGTTGAATTTTGTCAGATTCTTACCTACATCTATTGAGATTACTATATGATTTTTATCCTTCAATTTTTGTAATGTTTTATTTATTTTTGAGAGGCAAGGGGGACAGAGAGAGACGGGGAGACAGGATACAGAGTGGGCTCTGCACTGTCAACACAGAGCCCGATGTGAGGCTGAAACCCATGAGCCGTGAGACCAAGACCCGAGCCAAAGTCGGACGCCCAACTGACAGAGCCCCCCAGACGCCCCTCCTTCAATTTGTTAATGTGGCATATTATGTTGATTGATCTGTAGATGTCGAGCCATCCTTGTAGCCCTAGAGTAAATCCCAATTGGTCATGGTGTATGATCTTTTTAATGTATTGTTGGATTCAGTTTGCTATTATCTTCTTGATTGAAACCTTGTTTTGTGTAACAGTTTTCTTGAGATAATTCACATACCATACAACTCATCCATTTAAAGTGTTCAATTCAACCAAAACCTATGTTTAAACTTAAGTATTTATTGTGGAATGTCTCCCATCTCAAAATTTATAATTCTACAACATCACTTTTAATGGTGGTATGGTATTCTTGTATATGTCTGTATCATTTTTTTAATCATCCCCCCCTTTTTTTCATATGAAGATTGTTTCCATTCTTTTATTATCATAAAACACTTTGGTGCACACTCTTAGAGCTAACTCTTTGTCGACACCCCTGGAGTTGCTGTGACAAAGTGTATGCCCATTTTAAAGATACGAATACTTATCGCCAAAGTGTTCTCAAACAAGTTGCACCAGTGAGTGTAACTCGCTGGGAGTGTAACTCACATGGGAGTCCACACACGTGTGAAGATATTTCACCATTATATTTTGACTCTTCTTTACTTTTACCTTCAGAGGGGGCTTATCTGAGTGGAGGGACAGGAAGATTATAACTGATCTCAGGTTCATCCAACACCAGTTTGCACCGCGGTGGTTAGTCTGGTCAGAAGACAGTGTTGGTCCTGGAGGGAACCAAACATCCATAAGGAAAAAAAATTACAGTGGGAAAGGGCACTGGGGAAATGTGGAGTACCAGAGGTAGGCACAGACAGGAAGTACGGTACAGGAAGTAGCCAGAGTACAGGAAGTACAGTACAGGAAGTAGCCAGGGTAAAGGAAGTACAGTACAGGAAGTAACCAGGGTACAGGAAGTACAGTACAGGAAGTAGCCACACCCGAGCGGACCCGGTGGAGGTTTTGATGCAGGTCGCCTTCTGTAACCGTGGTTGGGGAGGAGGAGGGATTCTATAACACAGGGGAACAAGGGACTGGGATCCTCGAGCCACCTGCTGAAAACCCTGCTGTGCTCGCCTTGGCACCAGGGAGTCTTGCCACTAGTATCTTTGTAGCCTCCGAGCCACTTCCTGAGAATGGATCTCAGCCGATGAGAACACTGGACTGCTTTTCTTCTACTGGGTGCTCAGCAAGCTGTTTCTGTTTTCTTCTAGACCTCTCATAGACTTGACAATTCCACCCAAGAGAAAAAGCCAGTATCAGCCTCAATTAGACCAACAAACTCTTATTCAATACATTTGTTTTCGAAGACATTCAAGGCCCGCTGAACCATGGTATAAAGAAACTACCTACCAAAGGGACTATTCTCTGCCATTTTACAATATCGGTAAGTCAGGTCAACTGCTCTTACTCTCTGAGATCAACCGTTCCTCAGATGAGCCTCTTCCATAGGCTTGCAGCCGTCAGGGACGTGTCTGGGACCAGTCAGCTTGGGGGACAGTGTGTGTGTGTGTGTGTGTGTGTGTGTGTGTGTGTGTGTGTGTAGGTACAGGAAAAAGAATTTAGAGGCTGGCCCAAGGGCTGTTTCCGCCTCTCCTCGTTTTCCAGCTCCCTATAAAATTCAAGGATAAAAATGCAAAAATGTCAGGGCATCTGGGTGGCTCAGTCGGTTAAGTGTCTGACTTTGGCTCAGGTCATGATCAATGGTTTGTGAGTTCGGGGCTCTGCGCTGATGGTACAAAGCCTGCTTGGGATTCTCCTTCTCTCTGCCCCTCTCCCACTTGTGCATGTGTATACTCTCTCTGTCTCAAAATAAATAAATAGATTTAAGAAAAGAAAAGAAACGCACAAATATTCTTGCTAAGAAGCAGGCTCAAGTGTGACTGCTTCTCACTGAGCCCCTGTCACTCAACAAATTCCTTATTGTGCCTAAATATTTTGTTGAGGAAATTTTTTTGTCTTCTTCTCCCATTTTGCTTTTTTAAATGTTTTGTTTATTTTTGAGAGAAAGGGCATGAGTGGGGGAGGGGGGTGGACAGAGGATCTGAAGCAGGCCCACACTGACAGCACAGAGCCCGACATGGGGCTTGAACCCAAGAACCATGAGATCATGACCTGAGCTGAAGTCGGACGTTTAACCACCTGAACTACCTCAACGCCCCCTTAGTCTCCCATTTTAAATGGCTTTATGACAATTTGACATTTGGAGGCATGTTTCAAAAATTCTAAGATCCCTCTTCATTGCAACATGTGTGGGTATGAAGGGCCAAGCCCTCCCCCAGAAATGATGGGGGGCAAGTATACACATGAATGCCAGTGTAGACACTACTTATATTCCTGTCATCATGGATGCCTTGAACTTTAGCGAGTGGAAGGAGTCGCTGTATTGACAGGCTTTGTATGTGACTAAACCCCACTATTTCTGGGGCTCTTACCCTGCGGCAGGCACATATTTTGTCCTCATAACAGCACTCTCAGGTAAGTGCTATCACTTACCCCATTTTCCAAGAAGCGGGGATCAAGTTGCAGAGACAGTTAATGACCCAGCCCCAGGTCACCATGCAGGAGGCAGGAGAGGCGGAGTCCAGACCCAGGCCCTTTGAGAGAGAGAATTCAGGCACAGGCCAAGCTCTGTGCTTGACCCATAACCCATATGGCCCCTCTCACAGCCGGGTGTCACCTGCACTACTGTTTATTTAACAGTTTTCTTTAAAGTGAGTCACTTTCTCGTTGCTTGAGAAAGAAACCAGCAGGAGGCTGGTGGAGGGAGTGGCTGGGGGAGAGGAGGGTCTGCCCTTCCTCCTGTTCTCCCCTGAGAAGAGTGGCCACGGAGGGGGCTCAGGTCCCAGGCGAACCGCGGACAACAGCGGCCGGGAGGGTGGGCGGCGCACGGGACCAGGCAATCCGCCTCCGACGGTGGAGCCGCGGAGAGGGGGCAGTAGATGAAGCCGACGGGCCGCACGTGCGCAGGGGGCATCTGGCGTAAGAGGTTCCCGGGGGTGCAAAGCTGGGTTCTGGGAGGTGAGAGATAGGTGGAGGCTGAGAGGGGTGGGAGATGAGGGGAGAGGGAGGCTGGGGGCTGAGATGAGCCCAAGGGAAGGGGGTCCCGGGAGGTGTAGGATGGTAGAAGTTGGGGTCTCACAGGGGACCCCAGGAGGGTTGTATTAACAGAACCCGGGGGGGGGGGGTGCAGGTCAGGGCTGAGGATGAGACTTGGGGGACACGGGAACCCCAAGAGCTGAGTAGCTGGAGAGAAGAGGTGGTCAGGAGGAGAACCAGCTAAGCGGCTTGCCCTTTCGAGAACATCCGAGTCTGAAGTCTGCTTCCTTCACAGGGGGGAGTCCAGGTGGGCCTGGGGTCACCATAGTGGTAGTAAACAATCCCTCTGCTATCAGGGAATCTGGTTAGAAAGACACAAAAGGTTTTCTCCCCTGCTTGCTTTAGACAACGATTCTTTTAAAAATTTCTTTTAATGTTTTTATTTATTTTTGAGAGAGAGACATACACAGAGTGTTAGCAGGGGAGGGGCAGAAAGAGAGGGAGACACATAATCCGAAGCAGGATCCCAGCTCTGAGCTGTCAGCACAGGGCCCGACACAGGGCTGGAACTCACGAGCTGTAAGATCATGACCTGAACCAAAGTCAGACACTTAACCAACTGAGCCACCCAGGCGCCCCCAAACGACAACTCTTAATTCTTTCCCACCCTACAGAACGAAGAGAGTGTTTAGTTAGCAACGCAGTTCAAGATTTAGCATATACTGTGTCCCTAGCACTGTGCCGGGTGCCACAGAGGAGGTGAGCGCCACGCCCAGGCTCTGACCTCAGCCATGGCGAGTTCCCAGTCTAATCGGGAAGGTGAAGCAACAATCAGCCCATCAGAGAAGGATTAAGAAGCACCTTGCTGAGTGGGAGCTGGGAGGTGGGGTCTAGAACATGCCGGGCCCTGATGGATGAGGTCCGAGGCAGAGAGGGAACGGGGCATGCTGTGGGCAGGGACGCGCAGCCAGGATGTGGTGGGAGCGGGGGTGATGAGGCTCGTGGGAGGGGGGAGCAGCGAGGACTCCAGCCAGGACACTGGCCCCCCTGGGCCAGGCAGGTGGGGTTAGTGGGAGACGATCTGAGACTGGCAGAACTCGGGCCTCGGGGGGCTGGGGGCCCACACGCTCTAGCTCTTCAGCATTGACCAAGACGCTCAGCTTCTCTGAACCTGACTTCTCTGAAGTCTGTAGTTTAGCGTAGCTGTTAGGATTTAAAATGCCTGTCATGTGGTAAGTGACACACACGCACATGTGTACGCTTGTGCTTGCAGTGAGTCCTAGCCCACGGGAAGTAGTTATTACTATTTCCTCCAAGTAGCAGAAGAGAAAACCCAGCCTTGCAGGCTTTTAAGAAACTTACTCCAGCAGCTGGTGGGTCGTCGATCCAGGCCCTCCACATAGGTCAGGCTCCCAACCCTTGCTCCTGAATTGAACCCAGGAGGCTTTGCAGGAATGGGAAGAAGATTCAGGTGGCGTAGCATTTGGAGTGAGAAAGGAAGCATCAAGAGAGAATTCCTGAGAAACTCATGAGAAATTAAAGCTCGTTGCACAGCTGTCTGCTTCCGCCGCAGGATTGTTGGTGCCTCAGATGAAAATGAGGGCTTTCAGCCAAAGAGGTGTCAAGCTGGGATGTGTAGGCAACTGAAAAGAAGATGCTGGAAAGTGCAGCAGGCAGCAGTAGACACGGAACAGAGTTGGAAGCCTGACCAATTCAAGAGATGATTTATGTCGAAATATTCACTGCTCCATTCTCTGAGCCACTGATTGAGTGCACATCAGTTATCTATCATGGAAAAACGTCTTGTTCCAAAACCTAGTGGCTTATAAGATAAAGGGTCATGATTTTCACTGTTAGGATGGGCAATTCTGACTCAGGGTCTCTCTCAAGGAATCAGTCAGATGTCAGTGAGCGCTGTATCATCTGAAGGCTTGACTGGGGCTGGAAGGTCCGCCTCCGAGGTGGCCCATTCACATGTTCGTCACTCACACACTGGCTGGTGACGGCCTTGCCTTTGCAAGTGGGTGCCCTCCCACAAGTGCCAAATGTCCCGAAGGCATGGCAGTTAGCTTCCCCTACCTAGAATGGGCAACCTGAGATGAAGGGGGAGACTGCAATGCCTTTGATGACCCAGGGGCAGAAGCCGCTCACTGTCACTTCTGAATGATCCTACTGAGACAGTGTGCCAGGGGATTATGTAAGACACAAGTCCCAGGGGGTGAGAATCACTGGGGCCCATCGTGGAAACTGGCAACCAAGCTCACTCATTGACGGGACACCCTTTATGAACCAGCCACTGTGCTTGCTGTCTGCAGGGGGTCCAGTGACCAGGATCGACAGAGCAGACAGGACTGACACCTGCTCTCATGGAGGTGACATTCTTGGGGGCATATAGAGCACGACCCAGTACATTTTTTAAACATTAAAGACTGGGGGCGCCTGGGTGGCTCAGTCGGTTAAGCGTCCAACTTCGGCTCAGGTCATGATCTCACGGTTCGTGAGTTCAAGCCCCGCGTCGGGCTCTGTGCTGACTGACAGCTCAGAGCCTGGAGCCTGTTTCGGATTCAGGGTCTCCCTCTCTCCCTGACCCTCCCCTGCTCTCTCTCTCTCTCAGAAATTAATTTTAAAAACCCCAAACATTATAGACTGTACCGGTGCTTCCAGGGAAATAGGCAGGGGTTAAGTATAGCCAAGGGAGGTCCCTTTTAATAGCACAGTCAGGGAAAACCTCTATGCGATTTTAGCTGAGCTCTGAAACACAGGAATGAGTCACATAAAGAGCATTTCAGGAGGTAGGGGCCAACAGCAGGTCCCAAAGCCTGAAAGTGGAAAGGCCTAGGCTCGTTTGAGGCACAGGAAAGAATCCAGGGTAGCTGGTGTGTGGTCAGCAAGGGTGCCTGTGGTTGGGTGCCTGGATTCCAGTCTCAAAACAGAGGGAGGACCTGGAAGGGTTCGAGTGGGGGAGGGACCAATCATTTGCATTTTTAAAGGATCACTCTGGTTGCTGTTAAGACCCTGCTTGGAGAGGGACAAGGGGTAGGGCGTGCCCACCAGGGAAGAAGCTATGGCCTAGTTTCGAACAGAGATGATGGTGGCTCGGACCAGTAGGGAAGATGAAAAGGAATGAATGGATTCCAGAGATATTTTGGAGGTGACATCAGTTGGACTTGGTGACTTGCTGTTGAGAGCATTTTCATTCAGTCATCTGTATTCTCTCAGTAAATGATTTGAGAGCCTACTTGTATGCCAGGCAGTGCGAAAGGTTTTGGCGATACCATGTCAGGCAAAAACAGACACAAAGTTTCTACGTTCAGGAAGCCTCGGTGGAGAACGGGGATAGAAATTAGCGTAACGTTTCACCTGCCATAAATGCGATAAAGCAGAATTCAGGTGGTGCTCTAGGAGTGCTTAGTGGGTCAGAAAAAGGGTTCCCTGACGAAATGATGAGCTAAAAGTTCACTAAGCAAGGAGTAGGGGAAGAGCTTCACAGCGAGCACAGAGTGTGCAAAGGCCCTGGGTAGGAACACAACATATTTGAGAAACTAAAAAAGAAAATAAGGTGCAAAACACCAAAATCAGGAAAGGTGGAGCAGGATGTAGCTAGAGATGTAAAGACAGGAACAAGGAGAGAGCTCATAGGGCATCTTCAGCTCTGGCACCTCTAGCCTGAGATTAATGGGAAACCACTAAAAAGTTTTAAGGAGGGTGGAGATACCATGATTAAAAGTGCATCATGGAAAGATCGCTCTCTGGCGAAGGAAAGGGGGGCTGCGTGGGGAGTCGGGCAGGGCAGAGATTGAATATGCTGAGTCAGGACTGTCCCCCTGCCATGCCCCCGCCCCACTACCCCCAACAGTGGTTACACTAAAGGATCTTACCCTCAGTGACCTCACTTTTAGCAAGCCAGATGCCCAGGATATATCCATTCCAACTAAATTGGGATCTCCTGGTGCGGGGGTGGGATGGGGCAGTCCCAGGCATCAGTAAATTAACCCCTGCCCCACCAATTAGTCCACCACAAGGCCAAGTTTAGGAACCAGTGGTTTAGGCAGGTGATGATAGCTGGTAGCAGTAAAGAGAATCAGATCGATTGGTGAGACACTTAGGTGGCGATTATTTTGTAAACAACAATCCAGCAGGTGCCAGGCAGGTCTGCAAGAGACCTAACAGAGAGAGGTCACAGATCTGAGCACTGAGAGAGAACGCAGCAGGCGCTGAATCGAGGGTTTGCTGAAATCAAGAAACTGCTCCTTGAAGGATTCTTTGGGGGAAGGGCTTCTCAGAGAATAAGATCGATATTAAGTGGTTTATATTTAGTTGTTGTTTTTTATCTTAACCATTTGACCTGTCTTTGTGATCAGATTTTAAGGGCTGGGTATATGTCTAGATTAGCACTGATGTGCATTTATTTCACTATTCAGTTCTTATTTCTTTGGGAATTGTTGAAAAACAGATTAAATATAGATCATGATAGATCACAGCTCAAGAACTTCCTCCTGGGGGTGCCTGGGTGGCTCAGTCGGTTAAGTGTCTGACTTCGGCTCAGGTCATGATCTCACGGTTCATGGGTTTGAGCTCCGCATCAGGCTCTGTACTGACAGCTCGGAGCCTGGAGCCAGCCTCAGATTCTGTGTCTCCCTGTCTCACTACCCTTTCCCTGCTCACGCTCTGTCTCTCTCTGTGTCAAAAATAAATAAATGTTTAAAATTTAAAAAAAGAAGAAGAAGTTCTTCTCTTCCTCAGTAACAAATTCTCAGCACATAGAGGTTCATTTATTTACTTAGGAAACATTGATTAAGCACTATGTACAAGACAGTGTAAGATATACAGACTCCATCCTCAGAGAACTTATGCCTGGGAGTATGAGACAGCCCCTCGGACAAAAGTTGCCCATGTATTGCTCACCCTGGCACCGAATAATTAAAAGAACTCATTCTTCGAAAATAAAATATCTGGTCTTCATAGCGGTGTGACCCTTAGACTCTCTGACCTTCAGATTCCTCCTCTGTAAAAAGGATAATAATAGTATCTACCTAACAGAACAGAGATATCCTATAGGGAATTTAGCATTTGCTTGTATGTAATGTTAACGAGCCTTCAAAAAAATGTTAGCTGTTATATTATTGATCAAAGAATAAACACGGGCCATAATAAATGTTTGTAAATAAAAAAGAAACCCTAACACAATGGAATTGTATGTTATCCTGGGGTTAAGTTCTAAAACCAGTGCATCAAGAAGTTATTGTGTATACTCAAAGTTATCCTTGGAAATCGCTTAAATTGTTCAAAGTAATAATATTAAATGATACGAAATTATTCCAGTAGTTGGAATAAATGGGATTCCGTAAGTTGGTTAAATTTTCTGCAGAGTTCTCTCTTACCCATTTCATGTTTCAATGATGGCTTTGGAAGAAGTCACCCCCACAAACCCACACGAGGCAGAGTCTCACTTTTTTGAAGGGCAAGGAAATACCCTAAATCAGTTCACGTGTCCTTTCCACAGCAGTCCCCACCCCAAAATCTGCACAGCGTATCTCGGGCTTGAGAGCATCCGCTGTCCACGGCCAAATAGATTCATTTAGTGCAATGGCGGGAGGAATCCCCAAACATGTGCTGTGTGTTCTCGGAACATTTATTGTCGAAGCGATCCAGTTAAATGAGCGTGTCATTCAGCTCTATGGCTGGCGAGGGATTCTTCATGCCTCTAAACTGTAACCTAATATTGTAACCCTGAAGAAGGTCAGAGTTGGAATTTTAACCCCATGAGCCCTGGGAGGTCGAATAGTTACTTAGGACAGACAGGTACGCACTATAAATTAGACTTAAAAAATCCTACAGGGATGGCACTTCAAGTCATACTCCCAGGTTCAATGAAATGTTATCCATTCTTAATGCCAAGAAAGGTTGGTATCTTTCAATGCTGTCGAAGTACTGTGGAAGGTGGAATGGAGCAGTGAAGAGTTGAGGGACTTGGGGGCCAGATATTCCTGGGCCAAGTCCCCTCACCATCCCATAAACTTGGGCAAGTTCATGAATCTCTTTGAGAGGGTGACGCCGTCAGTGGGCCCCTGAGGATTGCTACACAGCACTATACGTACTACAGCAGTGTTATGATGCTATGGCTGTAACACCCTGCTCTTTGGTTCATCCAGGGTGGATGCCGTGATTGATGCACTTAACCCCAAGCCCTCCGTGAACCCTCAGGTCTAGACAGGCAGACTGTTAGTGATTGTGGACAAGAGGTTATAAAGTACAAGGGAACCCCGGTGGGTGTGCATTGAGGGATGGTACCAACGGAAGTTTGATACAAACATACAGAGTGGCCCGTTTACAGTGTAAGGCTTAACGGGTTTTGGGGTCTAAAATTAGGGTGTCAAAATGCAAATGTATATGACTGATTTAATTTTATTTACATGTGGGCATAATTCAATGAGATGCCTCTTGATCTCAGATGAAATGCAGAAATAACTTTTTGACTGAGTCCTTCTCTTCCACATCTTTTAGATATATTCCTTTCCCTTCAATTCCCTAAATTCTTTTATTATTGCTGACAATCGTTGTTGATGCTTTTTGGGGCACCTGGGTGGCTCAGTTGGTTGAGCGTCCGACTTCAGCTCAGGTCGTGATCTCATGGTTTGTGGGTTTGGGCCCCGCGTCGGGCTCTATGCTCTGACAACTCAGAACCTGGGGCCTGTTTCAGATTCCGTCTCTCTCTCTGTCTCAAAAATGAATAAACATTAAAAAAAATTTTTTAATTGTTGTTGACACTATTTTAAAATTCAGGAGTGAATGGTCTTAAAATAAATCATTGATTTGTTTTAAATTCCAGGTTCGAACAGGAAATTAGCCACAGTTTCATCGAACCCTAGGCCACTCAATTCTCTGCCAGAGCTCGACTGTTGTGAAGAGAGGCAGTTTTGAAAGAAAACCTTTTAAATTTAAAATCACCATGGCATTTGAACAAAACAGCATTTGGAGTTCTTACGTGACTCTTTTAGATTAAAATAAAGATAACAGGACTACTTTTGACTGAAGTGTGTATGTATACAGAAGCCTACAATCTGAAACATTCACCTGCTGCCAAGTCTCTCCAGACCAAGGTGATCAGCGCAACGCAGGGAATCACGAGTCAAGTATAAGTGAGCCTGTCATCAGCTGTCACCTCAGTTCCACCACCAGACTTGGTGCTGGTGCCGGCAAACCACCTTACATTTAAGCCAAAGGCTTAATGCAGGGGGCCAGGTCAGAATATAACCGGCTCAATAACTGCATTACTCACTATTAGAAGAAAAAAAAAAAAAAACAATCTGGGAAGTAGCCAGAAAGGTAGACTGCTAGCCACCACAGACCCTAAAGTGCTCTGGATGCAGAAACACAGATATGGCTTAGGGCTGTAGTGAGTTATGGGAGGTAAAAAAAAAAAAAAAAAAAGAGATGAATTGAAAGTCTGTACGCAGAGAGTTAATGAGTTAATACCCCTATCTTAACAACTGGGCATCAGTTCCCCAGGTAAAAAGCTAGAGGGTCTCTCCTACAGAAATGAATGATTCCAAAGAAAAGAATCCTACATCCTGGCCCCTAGCAGCCCCCATACCCACCTCCCTCGAATACCAGTGGTTCCCTACGCAACACCCCAAAGTGAACAGACGTCCCCCCGCAGAACACAATTTTTAGGTAGTTTTCCACGGCCTTAGTCGTAGATGTGAAGAGCCAACCGAGGATCACCAGAGAGTTGGAAAAATAAAGAAACATGGAAGACTAAGACCAAAATAAAGAGAAGTGACCCCAAAGGCAATACCAAGGAATCGATAATCAGCCAACAAAGTAACATTGTCATCCGACAAGGGATGCGTCCAAATAATTACATCCACACGCATGAAAAAGCAATCTTTCCAAAGCTCTTGGAAATTAAAAGCGTGATTGCTAAAAATTAAACGTTGGACAGTACTGGAAGAAAACTCTGAAAAACTCTACATGGAACGGAAAGGTGAAAGAAAGACTAAATAAAGAGACACAGACCTAATCAATCAGGGGGTCCACCTAGCTAGCAAGCTAACAAGCATCCTAGTGACAGAACAGAGAAAATTAGAGGAAATCAACAAGAAAGCGTTTTCACAGAGCTGAGGACCAGGAAGCCGCTCAAATGCAAGGGTCTCGGCTGTGGCCAAGCATAGGAAACCACAGAAAATAAAAATAACCAACTTTTGGTTTCACTGATTTTGTTTCTCTTCACTCTACCCCTTATTTCCTTCCTTTTACTGGCTTTGGGTTGAGTTCACTTTGTTTTGGCTCCTTAAGGTGTAAAGTTAAGGTGTTGATGTGAGACTTTTCACTGTTACCCATTTCCTGTGGAGCTCTGCCCGTGTTTGCTGCACATTCTCGCTCCTCTTTGCGTTTCCTCATTTCCTCTGTGAGTTCTCCTTTGAGCAAGTGTTCTTAAATGTCCACCGTGAATTTTCCAGTTTTCTTTCTGTTATTGATTTCTAGCGTCACGCCGTTGTGATCAAAGACACTTTGTCCGATTTCAGTATTTTTCGGTCTGAGACTGGTTTTGTGACCGAACATGGGGTCTGTCCTGGAGATTGTCCCACGTGCACATGAAAAGAACGTGTGTTCTACTATTTTGGGGTGAAGGGTTCCATAAATGTCTAAATCTGGCTGGTTTACAGTGTTGATTCAGTTTTCAATCTCCTCACCGATCTTCCATCTAAATGTTCCATGAATTGTTGAAAGTGGGGTATTGAAAGCTCCCAACAATTATTGTAGAACTATTTCTCCCCTCAAATCCACCAACATTTGTTTCATATATTTGGGGGTTCTGTTGTTTGGTGACTATATATTTATAATTATTACATCCTTTGATGACTTGGCCCTTTTATCAATACATAAAGCCCTTTGTCTCTTGTAATAGTTTTTGACCTAGTCTGTTTTGTGATTATCAGAATATCTTTTTCCATTCGTCCACTTTCAACCGATTTGTATCTTTGTATCTAAAGTTGAGTGACCTCTAGACAGCAAACATGACCTTGAGTGAGGCAAAATACTTCTTTATTTATTTTTAATGTTTTCTTTTTAATTAATACTATTTCTGAGAGAGAGAGAGAGAGACAGCATGAGCAGGGGAGGGTCAGACAGAGAGGGAGACACAGAATCCGAAACAGGATCCAGGCTCTTGAGCTGTCAGCAGAGCCCGAAGTGGGGCTTGAACTCACAAACTGTGAGATCATGACCTGAACCTAAATCAAAAGTCAGATGCTTAACTGACTGAGCCACCCAGGTGGCCCTAAATCACCAAACTGCTTTCCTAAAACAGGTGAATTTTATGGTCTACAAGTTATACCTCAGGGCGTCTGGGTCACCCAGTCAGTTAAAATTTGTTATGATTTGTTAAAATCATACCCTTTTAAAAATTTAAATAATACAAAGATGCATCAGAGAAACCTCAAAGTCCTCTCCTAGTGACTAATGCTAACAAGTTGATATATACCCACACATACTGTGACCTCGCTTTAGATCAACAAATATTTATGGTTTTCAATTTTCTTCTTCCCTTCCCCACTCTTTCCAAACGGGGTCACAAAGTAGGAAACTTGCTGTGCTCACATCAGTGTGTCATGGTCATCTTCTAATCAATACATCTCGATCTAACTAGATTAAAAAAAAAAATTTTATGTTTATTTATTATTGAGACAGAAAGAAACAGAGCATGAGCGGGGGAGGTGCAGAGAGAGAGGGAGACACAGAATCCAAAGCAGATTCCAGGCTCTGAGCTGTCAGCACAGAGCCCGACGCGGGGCTCAAACCCACAAACCGCGAGATCATGACCTGAGCCGAAGTCGGGCGCTTAACCGACTGAGAGACCCAGGTGCCCCTAACTAGATGTTTTTAAAGGTGTCATAGAAGACCATGGTATGCCATTAATGGACATTCATGTGTCCCCAATTTTATAATTACATGCAACATAGGGCTGCTTATGGAGGGATGGGATTGATGATGAGTCAAAGCATTTTCAAGTACATATTATATCAGAAATTACAAATTGATTCCCCCATATTTCAGTAACGTCCCCCTGCGGGCAGTACATGAAAACACCATAGCACTGATTTTGTGTATTCGACACTGAGAAATGAGAACTGGTATCGCATTGTGTTAACTTACGTCTTCCCGTCAGCAGGCGAAGGTGAATGCCTTCTCATGTTTGGGGCTGTTTACATTTATTTTTCTGTGGATTGACTGGCACATATTACTTTGCCCATCTTTCATTAGTTGTCACATTCTTACTAGTGGTAGCTCTTTGTATATCAAGGATATGTAATGAAATCTTTTTTCCCAGTTTGCTTTTTGTTAACCCAGGGCTGTTTGTTTTTTAAATGAGCTTTGTTCATAAGCATTTAAAAAAATTTTACTTTGGTCAAATCTGTATTTCCTTAGGGTTTACCAGTTTCCTACTTCTCTTTATTTATTTTTTTTTAATTTTTTAATGTTTTATTTATTTCTAGGAGAGAGAGAGAGACAGCGTGAGCAGGGGAGGGTCAGAGAGAGGGAGTCACAGACTGAAACAGCCTCCAGGCTATGAGCTGGCAGTCAGCACAGAGCCCGACGCAGGGCTCGAACCCACGAACCGCGGGATCATGACCTAAGCGAAAGTCGGACGCTTAACCAAGCCACCCAGGCGCCCCCCTACTTCTCTTTAGAAGGCTCTCCTGAAGTTATTTTCCTTTATGACTTTCATTAATTAAAAATTTTTTAATTTGAATTTTATTCAATCTGAAGTTCCTATTTTGAGATGCTATTTGCTGTCAGTTTTTTAAACTTTTACTTATTTATTTTTTAATTTATACTCAATCTAGCACAATAATGATTTCAGGAGTAGAATCCAGTGATTCATTCCCCTACATATAATACCCAGTGCTCATCCCAACAAATCGTCTTTTTTTAAAAAAATTTTTAATGTTTATTTTTGAGAGAGAGAGAGAGGGAGAGTCAGAGAGAGAGGGAGACACAGAATCTGAAGCAGGCTCCAGGCTCTGAGCTAGCTGTCAGCACAGAGCCCGACACGGGCCTCGAACCCATGAACCATGAGATCATGACCTGAGTTGAAACCGGATGCTTAACCGATAGAGCCACCCAGGCGCCCCCAAACAAGTCTTCCTTAATGCCCCTTGCCCATTAAGCCCATCACCCCCCACAACCCCTCCTTGCTGTCATTTTCTTAATGTGTTCTTTTCCCAATGACATGAAATGGCATTTTTAGCCTGTGTCAAGCTCCCACGTGCATGTATGTCACGTCTACTTCTGAAACGTCCAGTCGGCTTCCCTTCTGTTTTTGTTCATTCCCACGACTTCGACCGTAGTAGCTTTATAATGTCGTTAACCACCGGGTGGGGCCATACCTCTCAACACATTCTTTTCTCAAAAACATCTTGGCAATTCTTGCACATTCATTTTTCCACCCAAGCTTCAACGCAATTTTGTCCAGTCAGACAACCCCCTGGCAATTCTGACCAGAATGGCGTTAAATTTATATGCTCATCTCTGGAGGACATTCAGTTAGATCGGTCAATTAATATATAAAAAGCATACGTTAAATAGGCCGTCTCCCCATGGAAACGTCTTATTCTGCCACCTGGTTCCCTTCTGCTGACTTTAAGGTTTGGGAGCGCATGTTCCTGTTTGTTTTTCTGTTTCCCCCGTCTGCCCCCTTCAGCATGTCTACTCCGTTCTGGCCTAGTCCCTTCCTTTTAGCGGGAACATAGTCTGGTTTTGTGGTGTGTCCTTCTCCGACTTCTTGCCAACCTCATCGACCTTACCGGCCCCTCACTCATTCTGTTCCTCCAACCTTCCCAAGTGTCTGCAGCCTCCGGGCCTTTGCACGTCCCTCTGACTACTCATCCTCTCGGTCCGTTTGAATGCTATTTCTGCTAAAGGACTTCTCTGACCCTTTCCAGACTTGCATTAAGTTCCATTTCACAGCATTTCCCATGCAGCACACAGCACTCACAAGTATGTTTGACATGCTGGCCCATGACAAAATACCCAACACCCGGCAGATTCCAGCATATACACTTGTTCAGTGAGGATTTATTACTGCAGTATAGTTACCTGGGATTTCAAAGACTGAAATACATCTATGAGCAGAACCCCTATCTTAACCAGTTTAATTAGCAAACAGCTCACAGAGAGGAATCACTCAACCTAGTCAAAAAGGAGTCAGTGTCTCTCAACATCTGTAAGAGATTCATACTTTTTTGGTAAAAAAAAAAAAAAAAAAAAAAAAAATCATTGCTTCAGAGAATGAGTTTGGTTTTTTTAAATTAATTAATTTACTTTTTTGGTAAACTCTACACCCAACATGGGGCTCAGACTCATGACCCAGGATCAAGGGTCACATGCTCTTCTGACTCAGCCAGCCAGGCACATCATGACAGTTTTTGTTTTGTCTTTTTTTGTTTTAAGTTTATTTATTTATTTTTTAAGTAATCTCTTTGGCAAATAAGTCATCCACCAAATAACTCTTCACATCACTGCCTCTGGACCATTGCTAAAATTACGTTTCAGTAATATGGACTTAAAATTATTGAGGATGTAGAATATGGACTTAAAAACCTAATTTCAACTCAACCTAATTTGACATTCAGTAGGAAGATAAAGGAGAAATAAAAGCCCATTCAATTTCCACTGGAAAAAATAAGAATTATTTATTATATATAAAATATAAGTTATTTTCACATAAAAGCCATTATTGATCAGTAATGGGCTTGTAAGATCACCTGTAAGGTCCTTTTGGTTTACTGAAGCCACCGAGGCTGCCTCTCTTGTAGAAGTTTCTGAACTAAGTTATCGATGAAAATATGTCTAGTGAAGACAAAAGAGATGAACACTCCTTTCTAAGGTTCTCCCCACCCCATCCCTACATTCTCCAGGGAGAAAGCTGCTTCTTCTTATGTAAGTATTGCTAATACTTCTCTTACCAGAACAAAAACACAATACACAAACCATACTAGAAATATTTGGTTCATTTTAATCAGCTATTGATGGTATAATAAAATAAATTTAAGTGGCACCTAATTTAAACATTTAAAATAGTTCAAAGGATAATCTACAACACACTACGTGAAGCCTAATTGTCAAAACAACACCTCTTTTTCTCCCAAGAGGAAAAAATAAAGGCATGATCAAAATCATGACCAACAATTTGAATTCATTTGGACAC